CACCCGGGGGATTCCAGCCTCGCTGGCCACCTGGAAGCTGCCGGTCCGCTGCTATGTCAGATAGCGCCGTGACAATATCTCTAGGGCCTAGCCTATAACAAATAGGTGTTAACAAAAGCATTAAGGATAGAGACATGCGTAATGCTATCTCTTAGGTATATTAAGGTGGACATACTAACACGCTGTGCTTGTTGTTAGAGTATGGTTGCGGCAGCGTATACAACGTTAATATTAATCTCTGGACGCTATCACTGTGGTCACTCTTCGTCTGTTCTCTAGCAACAGTAGAAACTCTTCTATTAACTTGTTGTGTACAAGTTAACTGCTAGGATAGTTATAGTTGTACAGCATTAATATAGGCTGCAAGCTATAGTTGTCTTAATGTAGTACAGCTTCTAGTCTTGTAGGATGCAGATCTGCACATTAAGAACTATAAGGGACATACTGCTGCGGATGTTACGAGGTTAGAAGGGCAAATTAAGGTATTGAATTTTCTAGAGACTTAGCAAACCAAGGCTGCTAAAAAGTAACAAGTAGGTTAGAGCAATGCAATCTTAGCCTATTGCTCCCTGTCTATCTTCGCTGACACTGCAAGGAAGGCCTAAAGCGTTCCCCTACTGCTACCTTATAGACTACTTTAGATTATTTGTACAACAAATAGCCTTAAAGCATCTTTTTATAAACCACTCTCTAGATTCAAGCATTTACTAGTGTATCCAGCGAGGATGTTTGCCTTATGTTATCTATCTGCCGCTACTAGCCCCCCTTATAAGCCTTGTCGAGTCTCAGTAGGGAAGCTCTTGAACCCTAGCCCTCCTGAGAAGAATAAGGACACTGCTCTAAATCTTATTCTTTACGGGGGAAAATAGTAGAGATCCGCAGCTTTAGTTCCAGACATGATTTGTGCATGCAAACTTGCCATAGGGTCTTTGTATGAGCGATCAAGGGCCACCAATGAAGGTGAAAGCTCAATCGCTCGGCAGGAGTACATTATCAGAAGGCACAGATACACCTCCCTCTAAATTTGTACCTGCTCCCGAAGATCCGCCGCAAAAGCTTCCTGCGATGCGTAGAGTGCGGGGTTTCCACAAGTTCATGTTTACAGAAAAGAAACTTCTTTCGACTCTAGTAAGCAGCTGGCTAGGCAAGTTAGCTCCTATGTATTAGGATTATCGCGATGTTTTCCGGCCAGTGTGGTGGCCATCGTACGTAGATTATCCACTCGTGTTTCCTACGACACATTTCTGTAAGTTAGAGATGACAAGAGGCGGCTAAAGCTAACGCACAAAGACAACGCCCATTTAGCATCTGCTATGGCCATATTCGAGCGAGCTTGGCAGACACGCTAAAGACTGTCACCAGGCATGTCTACACCGAATTCCGCAAAGCATCCGATATCTCCGCTACGCTGATAGATTGAGATGATTGGATACGTTAAAGGCCTTCTCTCCACACCAGCTCGCACTATCTGCCCCTTCGGATCTCGCTGCATGGCAAAGCCATCGACTACATTTTGATGCTGCCTTTCGGCCGCGGATTTAACTTCTCTTTCCTTTCGTCTACTTCGCGTAACAATGTCGCGACCAGGATCAATGCCCCCAACAATGCCCACGAGGCTCGGCCAAGAAAAGCCGTCGTAAAGATGTTTCCATCTGCAGATTGGTTAAGACCACTGCAGAACGCTTAATCTTGACATGGTTCCACAAGAGCACATTGGCTCCATGTTGCAGTTGTAGTATCGTCATAATATTTGACCTATGGGCCTAAACGCTCATGTTTGCAATTTTGCGCACCTGTTGACTGCTTTGAACGGCTACCGGCGATTTCACACCAGGTCCAGGCTTCGGAGAGAAGATTCATGTCTTGGTTCCTGGTGTTTCGCATATATAAATTGTTTCATTATTTGACCACGGTTTAATTCTTGGTCAAACTCCGCTTCTCATGCAGCCTTGCGTTGAGCAGGAAAAACAGACTTGTAACGAGCCTCGAGACTCCAAAGCCAAGTCCTAAATACATCGCACCACGATAACCTTTGAGCTCGTCTTCTTTTGTCTGACCACCATTGTTAATGTGCATCTCAACAGTACCCGCAATACCAACACCAATACTAATGCTATAGTTGACAATAGTATTAACCAAACTCGCAGCCATACCCTGGTGATGTTTTTCCATTGCATTGCTCATAATGAGCGTGCCAGCTGGAAAACTCATGTCCATGCCCCATGGAATGACCAGTGAGACTACAAAAGTCTGAGCCCAATAGGTTTGGCCAGAGGGAATGGTTGCAGTGATGATGCTACCAATGATGAATGCACACATCGAAATGAACAGAACAGAGCAGGCTAACAAATAGAATCTCGTGCGCGAGCGACATTCTTTGCGTGACAGACTTGGTCGGCGCCAGCTCCGGACCACGTCCATCTTCAAACTTACTTGACAGAGCCAAGTCGCGGTCATGCACGGGAGTGCTTGTCGAGGTGTGCGTCGGGCAACGTAACAGCATCGATACAGGTGTTGACGGTGATTGTGGCATCGCCTCTTCCGGCCCAGATAAGTAGCAGAGATTGCTCGCGGAGTTTAATGGTGGATGTCTTGGTCCGCGTATAGTGCTCCAATGAAATCTCCCCTCTGGCTTCTGTGGCCGGCGTCCGCACGCTTGTCTCGTAATAACAAAAGGTCCGCTCGGAGCTGAGGAGATAATTTGGAGTGCTATGATTGTATCTCCATCTGTACCATATAGGGGCCTACCTATTTTAGACACTTTGGGAGAGTGCGCAATAATACTTAGGCCAGCCCGTGGCGTACACGACAGCCCCATTTTAGACAACATATCCGCATGCTTCCATAGCGCAGGAGCATTACGGGCAAGTTAACGGAGTTTAGCTAAGAGAAAAATCCGGCACATTCGGCTTTCGCAAAGTGTAAGAGCCGAAAATTAGTCATGGATATCGATGGTTTTGTTGTGCCTATGGGAGTTTTGGCTTGTGTCGTCATAGCTCAATGTCCACCGGCGTCTAGGCTATGTCCGAAACTTTGATTTTTTGCGGGCTTAGAACGAATTTTCCCCTAGCGCGCAAGCTAGGTCCCCTTGGCCGACTGACAGGCTACTCGAAAAGGACCCCTTACCCCGCCCATTATTTCTGTTATGTTCCAAAGTTGCTTTCCAACCCTTCACAAGGCGACACCTCAACAACGCAGATGTCCATTAAATGCACTCGCTAAAGCGACGGCATATCGGATCACAGAATTAACAGCTCCTCCGCTCAGGACTTTGAAGCGGCAAACAAGTAGTGATCATGACTTTTAATATTGGTCACGACCGAGAAGGAATTCTTCCTTTGATCTCAGTGTGATGAGCCCAAGGTGTGCGAGCTACGATACTTGTAAGTGTACAATAATACAACTCAATGGTAACTCAGCGAGTCGGCAAACTTCCCCGATTGCGCCGACTGAATGAACATAAAAGAGGCACAGGTTCCGCTATGCATGTTGTTCACTCATACTGCCTATGTTCCCCTGAAGGCTGTTCCCGTTGTTCTCTGCACTCTACCATACAAATCAACCTCTACTCTACCTGTCTTGCGAGTTCACCATGAGCACTGAGAGGAACGGCGTTCTCGTCGTCGGAGCTGGCGAGCTCGGCCAAGCCGTCGTAAGCAGCATTGTATCACACCCTTCGAGAAACGGAATACCTGTGTCTCTCCTCCTACGACAGGGAACCATCACCTCACAAGACTCAGCGAAACAAACTCAGGTATCTCAGTATCGCAATTTGGGCATCAACCTCGTCCCTGGAGATGTCGTATCGGACTCTGTCGAGGACCTTGTCTCAACTTTCCGATCATTCCACACTATCATCATCTGCACTGGCATGTGGCTCCCAAGAGGCACGCAGCGGCGTATCGCGCAAATGGTGCTCGCAGCCGAAACACCACGATTCTTTCCCTGGCAATTTGGCCTCGACTTTGAGGCTATTGGTCACGGAAGCGCGCAAGACCTCTTCGATGAACAGCTCGAGGTCCGCGCCCTGCTTAGGGGGCAGCAAAAGACTGATTGGACTATATTCTCGACTGGCATGTTTATGGATTACCTCTTCGACAGAGACTTCAACATTGTCGATAGGACAAACTCCGTCGTCCATGCGCTGAATGACTGGACCACCGAGGTGACGGTCACTTCAGTCATGGACATTGGCCGCATCGTGGCTGAGGTCCTCTGGTGCCCTGATAATACTACATCAGGCATTGTCTATGTTGCGGGCGAAACAATATCGTACGGGCGATTGGCGGATGAGGTAGAGAGGGCCGAGGGGCGCAAGGTCAAGCGCGAGCGTTGGAGCCTCGAGCTATTGCAAGAAAGACTAGAAAAAGATCCTGTGAATCATCTGAAGAAGTATTACTGCGTGTTTGCAGCTGGACGCGGAGTTGCTTGGCCAATTGAGCAGACAATCAACTACAAGAGGGGAATTACGTGCGAAACCGTCAAAGATTATTTGAGAAGATAACAAGATATGGCAACATAACCAGACCTTAATAAACAACTTATCCTCTAATACTATGATTCTATGATCAAGCTTCAATCTACCATGAGATTTAGTTTTGGTAACTAGTATACGAGTGAGAGGTTGTCTAGTATGCCGAAGATTCCTCGGACCCAGGTAACCGGTGTGTACAGGTTTTTCGGAACACCTCCGCGCGTTTGACGTCACCAACCCAACGCAGCGCTTAGCGTCATGCATTCTGCCCTGCTACGGCTGAATGAATTATTTTGGAGCGTCTTCATGGTAAATCTCAACATTGATGGTGGCGGTAAATTGCAATTGCAATGACTTCTGTGCTGACTGTACACAACACTACAGAACTGAGCATGGACTAGCTTGGGTATACGTGAACGAAAATGGTTACATCTGAAACTCGTGTTCCCTGAACCAGGGAAAAAATCCCAGTTCCGCAGATCAGAGCCACCAATTTGTCATCAGACAAAGATTGAAGTCGGGCCGTTCCCGCGTTGTAATGACGCAGCAGAAAGCGAGCCTATATATTCGCGCTTTTCGCACCAATGCATCTCCAGCATCAAGACTTCTAATTCCTCTAAATTCCAAAATAACGATCCCATACGTTTTTGTCCCTCGCCGAATCCCAACGCCCGCAATGTCCGCTCTCCTGACCAACAAGCCTCTCCTCGGGCCCCTCGTCGGCCTCAACGTCTGGACTTTCGCCATTGAAGTTCTGTTGTACAAACGCAGAATTCCCGCTCTTTCGAAATATGGTGTTACGTTCGATCCAGCAACTGTCAAGAAGCAGAAAGCCGAGAAATTGCCAGCTTTCGTCCAATGGCCGGCTGACAACTTCAACAATCTCTTAGAACAACCCACTCAATTTTATGCCGTCGTTCTCGGCTTGAGTTTTTTGGACGTCAAGGACAAGCGCACGGTTGGGTTGGCGTGGGCGTATGTAGGTCTGAGAGTGGTACACAGTCTTATCCACGTTTCTACCAACAACCCTAGCATCCGCTTCCCAGTCTGGCTTGCAAGCTCCTTCGCAGTAGCAGGACTTACAGCTCAGGCAGCTTGGAAGCTTCTTTTCTAAAGGGTCAATTAAGTCTACGTTTAAGTCGTAAATACATAAAGGTATTATCAAGTTTTTTCTTAACGTAAGTGCGGCTCTTATTTTAACTCTTTATAAGTAAGCTAACGTGAGTACATAGCGAGTGTGCCGGCTAGGCGAGCGCGCCACCTCAACAAGCTGTTGGGCCTACAAACTGCAACAGTTCAATACCACACCGCTGTACTGTAGCTTGCAATACAGAATGTTAATTGCTGACCTCTACTAAATCTTTCTTACACGTGTGCGAATTATGACTAGTCTTTCTGTAGAGCCTACAGTGCCCTTTACCCCTCTTGCCTGTACCTCTTTGAACTCTACCCTTACGACTCTCCCCTTCAACCTGCGCCTCAACGTCGTATTGGGCTATTAAGTCCTCTGCCTCTTCCTTTGACAGGTCTCTACCCTTCTAAACACGCTTTTTTTTCTGTGATGTGCGCTTAGAGGCTGATTTATTTAACGCTTTAAGCTGTAGCACTCTGGCTGCTAACAACGTCTGCCTATGTAGTAGTATTGGCCTCTATGCAGCTGATTAACGATCTTAACTATTAGAGTAGGTGACAATCCTTGGTACTTTTGAGTACGATTGCGAAACAGCGTTAATTGGGCCTAGATCTTGTTAGTGTAACGGACGTTCTTACGTTACCTATGGTAGCTAGTCCTAAAGGTGTAAGCCGTGGGGATGTTATGGTTGTAGAAGAGTATCGCGATTGAGTAAGCGTAGACAAGTTTCTCTCATAAGACAACGATACTTATTGGAGGAAGTATATGCTCAGGAAGAATGTATCCTTGACTACGAAGATGCTAACTATGTTCAATGACCTGCTTATATGCGTCACGATGTGGGTGGTTAGTGGGTTAGTGGGTTAGTAGCAAGGCAGGTCACTAACTCGCTAACCCGTCACGTGGTCAGGTTGTGGTCCGCTTCGGGCCCAAGGTTGTAATCCTCACCGTGCCACATCTCAGCATCTTCCGTTTCATACTCATCCCGCGCTTCCGTCCCTATTGGATCTAGCGCATTGTCTTCGTAGAGACCGTTTGTAACAGTTAGTGTTATGGGCTAAGCCCTTAAGATATAAGACTACATAGAGGGCGTACGTGCTTATATAAATACGTACGCTCCTTAAGGACTAGCTCCTAGCTTGGCACTAGGATATATCTCGTATGAGAAGAGACGTATTCTCTTCTTCTCTCTACCTTTCTGCTTCTATAGTCAGGACGAATGCAAACTCGTTAGCAGGCCTCTTTAACCCTTAACAGTGAGCGCTGATAGGTGTTACGATCGCTTTATACCAGCCAACCAGATGCTGACACCCTTCGAATGCTGAAGCACTTGGCGCAGTAATTACACGGGCTCTCCCGTGCGGCACGGTGACGGCACAGTTTATTACAGGTCACGTGATTGACCCACTCCTTGGCAGTCGAGCCAGGTGGACCCCACGTGGTGGCTCACGATCAACTCGGTGAGCCAAAGGATTTTCTATGTATCTCTTTATTATATAGTCATTAGGAATGCGAGCTCTTACAGTTCGTGTTCAACCTCAGTTACCAACTGGACAATACACTTGTGTTTGATGCTCACCCAGCTCTCGAGCTAGACCAAGCGTAACATTACTACTCATTGCTACCCGTGCAAGAATTGTTTCACTCGCACAAACCCCCAACGCCCTACGAGCACTTGTAACCGTATACGTCGACCCGAGAACCAACCAGAACCGTTTACCCAGCTTGCTGAGTTTACGACTTCAACATCTCTTTACTGTACACTTGCTTTAGGGGGGCAAAACAACCGGTGAAGCTTCGATGATGCCTGAAGCAGTGCATCCTGAGCTCCGCTTGCTCCATAACAGCAGCATCGAGCCAGATGACAAGATAATGAACAAGGCGTCCCTACATGAAACGGAAGGGTGCGTGATGGTCTGCCCCAATGCCTCTGGCGGACCAATCTGCGACACAAAGGAAGAATAGAGGGACCAGCTGGATATGAAGATCTCGGACAGGTTCTACTCACGCACCGTGTCACACCTGGTGTTGACTTTAGCAGCTAGTGGAGAAGGACCTCGTATCAGTAGATAAAGTCCGCATTGCTTATTCTCAAACTTGCTCTAGAACTCGTTAAGTCAAACTTGACTAGAAACACCATGTGCGATGTTAGAGGCGTAAAGATAAGATATTTCAATCCTGTTGATCATCGATTTTCGACGAGACTTTCTGATCGATGTTGCTGTCCAGCATTTCCCCAGGGCCAAGAACAAACATTTCCTTTTTCCAATTCCATCGATAACCCAAGAAGAGCCTCTCCAGGCTGGAAACTCCAATAGTCGAGTTGGGCAATCCCATGAAATGCAGCATCTTGGTAACAGCCTACTTATACGAATGAGAATCCTACTGATATACAGTGTCTGAAGCCCGAATTCTGAATAGTACGGATGCTCGCATCGTACAAAACTCAAAGCTGATGCATATCTACAAGATTCTAGCGCGCTTCCTTGATCCGAGCTCGTTACCATGCGCAAATCTAACACGCTTATATGGTATTGCTGGCAGTGGCCTCTCAAGTCCCAACTCTGAATGATCTATAGTTCCAAACGGACCCTCAAGACGCTGATGGGATATGAGCTTATCCAATGTAGTAGGATATCCGCTCAGTTCTCGTGGCTTGGAGGTAATGCCACGTATCGACATGCCGATCACCTCGTCTCTTTTGTTGACTGTAAAGTTGATACGCCTTCTGAAAGGCAAATAATCTTGCGGTATACTCTTGACGCATCGGACTGGGTTCCCTTGAATGTAAAAATGCGAAGACGTTGTGGCAAGCTGGTAATACAAGTAGTAAAGTCCATCGCGAGGAAGATCAAGTCGACAGTAGACAAAGCCCTCGCAAGAGTACCGACGCCCATCAAACCTTGGCAAAGAGTCGAGTTCAAAATAGAACATCGAAGATATCATGTAATCCACGACTGCCGTCACTGCGGCATTTCGTCCTGATACTGTTTGCTCTGTGTTTTCTTTCAGAGTAGAAATCTGGGTTGCATCGTCAAGACTCGGCTCCCGTCCAGGAACCTGTAAATTCAGGCGGTGAAATCAATGTCGTGGATGTAGAGACAATGAGTTGTAGAATTCAACCCATGCAGCTTGAGCGTCCATGCTGTCCATAAGAATCTTCCAAAGGCGTTTCACAAATCGTCCAACCATAGTGGACTCGAGCATGCGTGACCACATACCGGATTGAATTCGAGGGCTACTTAATGTCTCAAGCATAGTGCCGGTCCCTAAGGATAGAAGGAAGTCCGGGTCCGGTCGGTCTGGCCAAAGGTATTTGATATCCCAGGTTGCTAGTTTTGCAGGCATGTTATGTTTGATACCACCATCCTGCACCAGCATAGATCCAATGCTCACAGGGAGAAAATACCTGCTGTTAAGTTAGAGTGGCTCAATGGAAGGAATTACTTGGAAAATCTACCCAGGCGCCGCTGATGTGCAAGTGGCCCTAGAGAGTTAGCAAGATATTGTGAAGCGAGAAGTTTGACTCACGCCTGCCCAACGATAACATCATCTTGGGCTTGACGAGCACGCTCAACATCATAGCCTGGATAGAGATTAGTAAAGGATATCTAAAAGATTTCAGGGTTCATACCTAGGGTGGGCGGGCGCTTGCCCCCCCATTGTAATTCGCGATAAGTCGAGCGAGAGAACGCTTTACTTCAGTAGTCGTAACGGCGACCTTGCTCTCAGTTCTGAGCGGATTGAACATCTTCATTGGAGTGCTACAGGCTTTCTCGAAAGCTTTCTCAATGGCTGACGGATCGTACTTGCCATCGTTGATAATTGTGGACAATATTGATCTTTGCTTGCTGAACGTTCCAGTAGCTGTGTTCTCGAACTCCTGGATAGCTTTCTTTGCCCCCCCACTGAAGTAGGAAAACCCCCATTGCAACTAGCCCACCTATAAAAATCAGAACTGGATGCACCATAGTATGCTAGACATACCGGTCGAAGTACCAACCACATAGTCGAAGTGGTCTTTGATTGAGCAACCGAAGCTAGACATGACTTTCTCCAGATGTTCCAAGAATTTCAAGGGTACAATGCCTCGAATTCCTCCACCATCAATGCTCAATACACGAATGCCTGCTGTAGGTGGAATTTAGTGGAAGACAGCATCTCGCTGTATAACGCCGCATATAGTGCACTCGGTGACTGTAAATGTGTACTTATTGGTCTTCGGAGCTCATAGGCCTGGTTTGCTGAGAGCTGTCTCGTTGCAATTATTTCTACGTCTTCCTCCCCAAGAGCCTCAAGGGTTTGAAGAAGCTGATCTGTCCTTGCAGAAGGCTGTTAAACCAGGGTGGCTCCATGGGGTTTGGGAGCCAGTAGATTCCTGTTCGCCATCATGGAGCTAGAGTCTTTGTAAAGCTCCAGGCGTTGTTCGCGTTCGTGTATTATCGATTGGCTGTCTATTCCAACAAAGCCTGAGACGTAGTATTGCGCGGTCTCTTCGCCTCTGTGGCCTAACAGCGTTCGAAGTTGCGGTGCAGTCGCTCTCCCTGAATACGATCAGCATATCTAAACCCTGCAGAGTAGACTGGTCTGACTTTGCACTGCATGTGCAAAGGCACGCCTGAAGCAATATGCGCTGAGGTTTTCTTTGTACCCAGCTCTTTGTCCAACCCCCCTTAATGCAGTGTTGAAACAATCATAAGTCCATATCCCGTCCGCAAAGAGTGTCCCGTCCGCACGCGTATTCCGCATAATTGGGCGGTCCAAAGCATCCTTCTTGTACCTCGCTCGGTACAAGGAGCTTCCAGCTGGGGGCCTTGCTTTAGCAAGATCTTCGTGTGAAGACAAATTCTGGAAAACATCGTCTGCAAAGGCAAGGAAGAGAAACCATGTGACCGGACACATGTATCTCATAAGCGGCTCCTCGTACAAGACCATGGTTGGCCTAGCCAACATTAGTTGTAATGCTTGAAGCTTTATGAGAAACTCACGCGTGCTTCTTGTATTTCCGATGCCCCTTATGGTTCCTCAACTTTACACAGAGGAGCCATCCTTGGTATGTAGCAGTCCGTTGGTGAATGAGCTCAATATCCTTGTAATGTAAACCTTCGTTCGATCGGTGCCATGCGTCTGACTCGATAATCTCGCCAGGCCGAACACCAATTAGTAACATAAGCTGGATCGCGAATGCTAGTTGATTGCGCAATCGAAAGTGAAGCCCCCTGTACTCGTCGCATGTGAAAAGAAATCGGATTATGTCTTCAGCCACAGCTAGGGGTGCGAGCGGCTTTGAGCAGGCACTTGTTGATACAAGTTTACCGGAAACCAGAACTTTTGCAATGTACTTGTTAATCTCAGCATTCTGGAGCGGAGTGTACTGGTACTGGGTATGGAGCTTCACAGCCCGTTTCAGGCAGGCTAGACGATTGCGAACGGTGACGTCTGTCACGTTGTTCTCTAAGAGTCCTGTCCTCGATTGTGCGAACCATTCCAGGTACAGCTGTACATGCAGTGTAGTAGGTGCCTGAATAAAGCCATCTTCAATCAAAGGCTTATCAAGAACGTCTCTAGCGAACCTGCAAGATATTAGTGTGAAGAGCGAAGATAAGATACAATTCAAACCTACTCTTTCCACAGCCTCATTTTGTACTGATACGATTCGAAGGCCGATTTGTTCAAGGCTTTCTGTACATCTGCAGCAGTTAATGGTTTCGTTCCCTTTTCCTGGCGAGCGCGTTCTTTGAGAAGTTCAAGGTCAACTTTGCAAGCTCTTTTCCCCATCTCGCAGCTTTTGATATATTGTAACAATAAGCAGAAGGGTAAGCTTACATAGATATAATTAGTTTGGCATTTGTTCTAAAAATGGTGTGCAGCTGAAAGTTAGCAAATTCGCCCTAATTGGCTAGCGATGTTGGTGTTCGCGAGGCAGACCGGTCCCCGTATCCTGTAAACGCGACACAAAAACCTCAAAACAGTACCTTGGCAGACGGCGGGTCGGGCAGGAGAACTAGCTCTCAGTTTCCAATGGTCGTATGTGCCAGAAAAACGGGATGGATTTGTCATATCCGCGAATGTTATGATTTTATCGGCTGTTGGGAGTGATCCCGCCAAGGACGCCCGCGGCTGCTACTACGACTTCACACACCACCAGACACGGAAATCGAGGAACCATGTACATTCAATTTTGTAGAGCTTTGAAAATATAGATATGTAAGCGCGGAATCTAATTCTCACAATATTCTTTTCCAGATGTATAGAAGAGCAATGCACATACAAATCATTTTCGATGCAGACTTCTTACTTAATGAAACAACAAATGTACAGCGCATTATCTTGGTTCCATTTATATTGAGCTGGCAAAGCTCGTCTTTGTGCTATCAGCCTGCAATTTTGCCTTTGCCTCTTCTATCCAAGTCTCGAATCTCAAGACGCCTAATTGCACACTGCGTATGGGCGTTACCTTTGCACCGCCCAAATCCCCTCCCTCCTTTCTTATCCGCCTGCCGCTCTCAAACTCTTCTTCCTCCAACTCTTCTCGGATGGTTGCCGTTCTGCCCGTCTTCTGTAGGCTGGGTTGGACTGGGATCCACGGCTGTGGGTGTCCGATTGGCGGATCTATATCACCTTCATCTTTGAGCTCCATGCTAATGTTGAAGGAACATTTGGGCGGTAGAGGAGCGAGCGTGGATGTGCGTGTGGTAAGGGCAATCAAGGCCGCGCGAAACTGCTCAGAGAGATTGACATGTACATCCGTATCCAACGCCTTTGTCTTTCCTCGCTTCAAGATGCCACTCTCGTCTTCATTATCGGACACATCAGGTGTTGTTCCTTGCCACTCAATTTCCATGTTGCGATCTCCCTTGTCCACGATTGGGAAGCTACTGACATCAAACATGTATCGCTCCATTATTTTTGCACTGCCTGCTGCACTTGCTTGATCGCCTTCATAGCTGAAAACTACGATAGCAATTCTAGCGACGCTGCCGTTCAAGAGCTCCTCGCCCACGGCGGCGATGGCGTCGGTTATCCATTCGCAGACGAGCGGATGCCGTGACTGGAAGACGGAGGTATTGTGGAAGCGCGATTGGACAAACGAGGCGCGCGGATAGAGGGTGCGTAGGTAGAGAAGCGTATGTGTGTAGGCTGTGAGGAAGGTGGTGAAGTGGTCGAGGGTCTCGAGATAAGTTGGGGCCATGGCGGGCTCGGATACAACAGGACAGGCAGTGTAACCACCACTCGACAGGGCGTTGTACACCTAGCAGGCGTTCCGACTTGTCTATCCCATATGTCTTGTAGTGGGGGTATAGTGGACAAAGGGCATGACGCAGACGCGTCTCGTCGCGTGTCAAGGCCGCTAGGCTATCGATAGGCGTCGGTAGGCGTGCATAGGCGGGCAGGGCTGGTAGTGCAGTGGCTGAACGGTATGGCGACTGTCGTGTGAATGCTGTGTCGAGAGCCCCTGGCACTGTTGGGGATAACAGCGTGGCAGGTAATACCTGGCCTTGGGTGATTGAGATGGGGAGAAGGAGACATCAAGTGCCTGGTTTCTACTCGCCCCGGAGGTGTCATGACGAATCTTCTGCACAGTGAGCCAGTGCAGGTGAAGCCATTGGTCGTCTTCCACCTCGCCACCACTCAATTCAGCCCTTATCCATATGCTCAGCCTTAATTTTCTCTATCCAGTAGTATTGTATTTACTCTCGAGGTGAAGGCGTCAAGACACTGCTCTCCCGCCACAGCAGCCGCTTGGCCACCCCGCTACACACAGATTCACGGAGCTGCCCCGCATCCCCGAGCGCGTTCTTTTTCCTCCGGTTCAGTCGCCCAGCAAACACCAACAACAAACGCGTCACCCGCCAAACAGTTCCTCTCGCCAACCGAGTTGGGCAACGCTAGACGTGCTGACTAGCTCTGTACGCGCATGCCCCACGTTGACCTTGACCATGGAGGACCAACTAGTGCAGCTGCTTTCCGCAACCCAGACGGCCCAAGAGGACACGCGCAAACAGGCTGAACAGCAGCTGCTCTCGCTCTATGGCCACCAGGAGCTCCCGCTGGGCCTGATTGGCATATCCTGCCATGAGAGCGTGCCTCTCAACATCCGCCAGGCTGCCCTGCTGTATCTCAAGAACCTCGTCCTGGCAGGATGGAGTGACAGCCTCGAGGGCTGGAAGGGACAGGTCCTGATCACAGACGAGAACAAAGCTATATTACGACAGCAGCTGCTCGCCCTCGCCACGTCCGACCAGATCGACCGCAAGCTCAAGGCCGCCGCAGGCCTCGTCGTCAGCAAGATCGCAGCCGCCGACTACCCCATCGAATGGCCCGACCTGCTCGAAAACCTGCTCAATTTGATACCCAATGCGACGGAAGGCCAACTACACGGCGCCCTCAGGGTGCTTGGCGAGCTGGTTGAGGATTCGTTCAACGAGACTACCTTTTTCAGCGTGGCACCGCAGATGATCAAGATTCTATACGATGTGGCTACCAATGACCAGAGGAAGCCGACATTGAGGGCGCTAGCATGCAAGGTCTTTCACGGCTGCTTTGACATACTCGAGATGGTCATGGATGATCACAAGGCCATGGTCAAGAATTTTGCCGACGAGGTGCTCAAGGACTGGATGCCTTTCTTTATCAATGTCTTGAACACGAGGTTACCAGGCCCGCCTTCAATTGAGGAAGAAGAGCAAGATGCGCCCAATGCCACGCTGTACAAGGGTCAGATCGCTTTGAAGCTCCAAGTGGTCAAGGTACGTCATGGAGAATGAAGACCAGCGCCTGTCGCAATACTGAACATTCTACAGGTCCTCATGCGCATCCGTTCCATCTTCCCCGCTATTCTATCGCCTCAAAGTATCGTTCTCTTCCAAGCATGCTGGCAAGAACTTTCATTACTCGAACCCGCATACTCTCTCATGTACATACAAGAAGACCGCCAGAGCAGGCTGGAAGACGCCGATGGACTCCCGTACACCCTTGATTTCCTCATTCTCGAAGAGCTAGACTTTATGCAAGCATGCCTTCGCGCACCGCCAGTCCGCAGTCAGCTCGAACAGGAACTTCAGAACCAGGCACCCGAGAACTCTTGGGTTACTCAGGTCATGAAGCTGGCCGTGGCCTACGCACAAATCACTACCGAAGAGGAGGGACTGTGGGACGTCGATGTCAACATCTTCTTGAGTGAGGAGACTAGCGTTACAGCGAATTACACACCTCGAACGGCTTGTGGAGACCTCGTTATCAAGCTCGGTGAATGGCTGACAGAGCCTACGGTCAATGGCTTGTTGACCTACACCAGAGCGCTTTACTCCGAGTCAAAAGGCTGGAAAGCAGAAGAGGCCGCCCTGTACGTTCTCAACCAACTACTGGGCGACTTCCAGGACGTGGACAAGCAAATCAGCCCCGAGGCTGCGACTGGCTACGTAGATTTCATCCGTTACGCTATGCAGCAGCCTGATGCGTTCCTTCGAGCACGAGGCTACCTGGTCGCTGGAAGCTTGACAAGAACATCTGGAGACGCTCTCCAACAGCTAGCTACATCCTTCCTCGAGGCGAATCTGCAGGCTATTCCAAATGACGAGTCCGACGTTGTCCAGGTTTCTTGCATCCGAGCTCTACAACACTACCTCCAGGCACTCCCACACTCGGTTACTCAGCCCTTACAAAGCCCGATCATATTGGCGATTAGCAATTACCTTGCCGCACAGGACATGTCAGAACTCAACGACGGTGACGATATCATGATCACTTTGGTTGAGACCCTGAGAGACGCTATTCTCATCGACACTCGGATCTGCATCACGGACAACGGCCTCGATATGCTATTCCGAGTGGCTAGCCACCAAGCCTCCAACTTTCAGTTGACCATGCTGGTTGTTGAAGCGTTTGAGGAGGTTACAGAGACCATTGCTCGTATGGGAGGCGATGCGTATATTCAGCTTTGTGCAAGGGTTCTTCCATCACTCACAGGAGCTTTCGATGTTGGGAGCTTGACGGAAGAGAATGCTCTGTGCAACTTCGCTGCCGATCTCCTTGCTGTGCTTGCTGAACATGGACCTGAGCCGCTTCCTGCTGGTTTCGTTGCTACAACCATGCCAAAACTCACACGACTTCTTCTTGGATCCACTGACGAGGAGCTACTCAAGTCTGCTACAATTGCGGTCAAGAACATCATCTCGCACGATCACCACCAACTATTTGAGTGGAGAGACGACACCGGTAAGGCTGGTCTAGAGGTGGCTCTTATTATTGTCTCGCGCCTATTATCATCATGCAGTGACCACGCTGCTGGCGAGGTCGGTGCCCTTGCTGCTGAAGTGGTAGAAAAGGCTGGTCACGAACGACTTGGCCCTTACCTGGAACAGCTCTTACGGAGTGTCGCGGTACGTCTGGCGCAAGCAAGTCAGGCGAACTTCATTCAGAGCCTGACACTTGTCTTTGCACGCTTGAGCTTGAACCATGCTTCTGAAGTAGTGGACTTCCTTGCTAGCCAAGACATCGACGGCGAGAATGGACTGCAAGTCGTGCTTGCAAAGTGGCTCGAGAACTCGATCAACTTTGCTGGCTACGATGAGATTAGGCAAAAGTACGTTAGGCTTCTTTCCCTACATCTAGTAGCCTTATGGGTGGTCACTGACTTTATCATTCTAGTGTTATTGCTCTCTCGAAACTATATGATCTAAAGGATCCTCGCGTTGCACAAGTCCAGGTACAGGGCGATTTGGTGCCGAACACCGATGGCCGTATTATGACTAGGAGTCGCGCCAAAGCTAGTAAGTATCTCTTAAACCTTTGCTGCTTAGCCATTGTCATGTTGTGGAGAGTGTGTGTAGGCTGTTGCGCCACTATTGCAGAATTCAGTGCCGCAAATCCCTCCCGGGTCCGTCCACACACTGACAAGGAAATCAGATCCTGACAAGTATACAATAGTACCTGCGCCCCTCAAGATCCTCAAGGTTCTTATAGTAGAGCTCCAGTCGGCCTCTGGTGCAAATCTCGATGCAGCTGCTGCTGCAGACCTCGCAGAGGAAGGCTCAGACGATGGTGACTGGGAAGACGAGCCCAACCCATTTGTCGATCTTGGCAGTGGCTTCAGCAAAGAGCAACTCATGGCATTCGCTGCTGAGGAGCCTGGCGGTGGTGGTCGTCAACGCGACGACGAGACACAGAGTTTCCTCGTTGAATTCTTCAAGCGCGCTGCTACCTCACCGGGCTTCGCTGATGAATTCAACCAGCTCAATGAAGACGAGCGACAGCGATTGCGGGAAAGTGCTGCCTAAGCGTTGCTTTGATTGAGCATTTCCTATCAGGCATGGGAAGTGGCTTGAAGTGATTAACGGGCAGGAACTTCTCATTCAACATGGATATCGTATGTAGACTAATACGCCAGTCTGGGCACCCGTGGTGTCGCTCGTATAGGTACGACTCCCTTTTCTTTCTGGATTCAAGGTACATAGACGGTTGAAAGGGTGAATGATGGCAAGTCCACTATGTGGGGCGGAGGAAGCAATGAAAGCAAAAAGGTAGGATAAGTCGTTTAGGAAACTAGCATACTGTTGACGAGGATTATGAGGGAGGGAGTTCTTGTGGCGGCTATGTGTCTTTGAAATCAAAATCATACAATCCACTGGTTTTGTAGCCACGACTGCTTTGCTTGAGGTGTCGTGATTGTGTTGTGCTTGAATATCTTCGCTGGGTCCGTTGTATACGTATGCACGGAGTTGTACTACATGTATATTGGTGGTTTCTGCAAACGATTTACTTAGCAGCAAGAACAATCGATTGTGCATGGTGATTACTCTCGTTTTTCATCATGGGTTCAAGGATTCAAGGTGCGAGGTTATGCATTCACTTGGTAGTTGATGAGTGGTTGCAGAGTGAAGCAAAAGTGATGATTCATATGCCTCAGGTTGATGGATAATAGAGTTCTGGGTATGTGATCAGGTTGCTTGGAGGTTACTTCTCTCATATGGAGATGGAGTAGCGTGTGATTTACTTTCCTAAACGTATTGCTAGTATAACGAGAAGTCGTGATAAAAAAGACTTCATTTATACTTTGTTTGATTGTGAGCAGTCTGGGGATAGGGACGCCAGTCTAATCTGTGATGATAAATTTTTTTTGGATAATGTGTACTTCCTATGGGAATGTTGACATAGTAGTATGGTTACTGCCCCTGCAGGCGTGATGAAATA